CAGGCTGCAGAGCAGGGTCGTGGCCTTGGCACGTGCGGCCGCTTCCCCACGGCGGAGTCCTGCCCCCGCTCCGCCCGACTTCCAGGTGGGTGCGGTGGAAGGAGGGTCCCTGCCCCTCCACCACGGCTCGCCGCTGAGGGTTCGAGCGAGCGGGAGAGTTCCTTGCATTCCCCACTTCCCGCCCGCTCAGCCCAGTTTAGGCTGTTTGATGATCGCCCTCTCCTGAGCGTCAAAACTCCCACCATTCGTGGTTTAAGGACACTCAGGGGACAGCGAAGTGGCAGGTTATGCGGTATCCGTAGCGGCCCTGGGTGGGTGTGCAGGGCCGCGGGGCGGGAGGCGCACGGGTCGGTTTGCGTGGGTCCTTTTCACACCAGTGCTCAAATCAGGTGTCCACAAAGGAGTCTACACATCTGTCTGAGCAACCTGGGCCCTCACTCCGCGCTCCTGAGGCACTATCCAGGCCACAGGTTGATGGCTTCATCTTTGGAGGAAGATAAAGACCAGTTTGTACTCTGCTGAAACTAAAGCAACCCCTTGTTCTTATTTTTCTGGTTGTTTACTTTTTATGAAGAAAAACATTAGATATAGAGCAGAGACTAGTAGAATACTACCTAAAACCTAGCGTCTGTATTTAACAACTATTTGCCTTTTGCCTTATTTATCACCTTTTCTGCTGGAGGGTTTTATTTTTTAATTTTTAAAATTGTATTTACTTGTTTTTGTTTTTTGAGACGGAGTCTCACTCTGTCTCTCAGGCTGGAGTGCAGTGGCACCCTGTCGGCCCACTGCAACCTCTGTCTCCTGGGTTCAAGCAATTCTCCTGCCTTAGCCTCCCGAGTATCTGGGATTACAGGTGCCCACCACCATGCCCGGCTAGTTTTTTTATTTTTAGTAGAGATGGCGTTTCACCATGTTGGCCAGACTGGTCTCGAACTCCTGACCTCAGGTGATCCACCCACCTCGGCCTCCCAAAGTGTGTGTGTGTTTGTTTGGGGAAGGAGTCTCGCTCTGTCGCCCAGGCTAGAGTACAGTGGCGCTATATCAGCTCACTGCAAGCTCTGCCTCCAGGGTTGACGCCATTCTCCTGCCTCAGCCTCCCGAGTAGCTGGGGCTGCAGGCGCCCGCCACCGTACTTTTTTAGTAGAGACGGGGTTTCACCGTGTTAGCCAGGATACCCTCGATCTCCTGACCTCATGCACCCGCCTCGGCCTCCCAAAGTGCTGGGATTACAGGCGTGAGCCCCCGCACCCCCCTGTTCTTGTTTGCTCTTTAAGTTTTTTAAGAGACAGCTCTGTTGCCTAGGTTGGAGTACAGTGGCACCATCATAGCTCGCCGTGACCTTGAACTCGTGGACTCAAGCGATCCTCCTGCCTCAGCCTCCCAAGTAACTGCGACTACAGGCAAGTGTCACCACACCCAGCTAATTTCTGTGTTTTTTGTAGAGAGAAGGGTGTCACTATGTTGTCCAGGATGGTCTCAAACTCTGACCTCAAGCAGTCCTCCCACCTTGGCCTCCCAAAGTGCTAAGCCATCACACCTGGTGGAGAGTTTTAAAGTAAAGATAGGAAATTTCACCCCTATATGGTACCATATACATATCATTTTTAAAAGGACACTTTCCCACTTTGGGAGGCCGAGGTGGGCGGATCACGAGGTCAGGAGTTCGAGACCATCCTGGCCAACATGGTGAAACCTATCTCTACTAAAAATACAAAAAAAAAAAAGTTAACTGGACGTGGTGGTGGTACTCGGGAGGCTGAGGCAGGAGAATTGCTTGAACCAGGGAGTCAGAGGTTGTAGTAAGCCAAGATCACACCACTGCACTCCAGCCTGGTGACAGAGCGCAACTCCATCTCAACAAAGAAAAAAAAAGAAAAAAAAGACACTTTCCTACATAAACATAATGCTATTTTCACACCTAACTAAAACTAACAATAATTATCAACTCGTATCAAATTCTTCCAACTGACCCAGAAATGTCTTTTACAGCTGACTTACTCAGACCAGGATCCAATCCATGACTACCCATTGCATTCGAGTGCATCTTTTTTAACCCAGAAGAGACTCCTCCTCCTCCACACTCCACCTTTTTTTGGAATGACAGTGCCTTGTTGAAAAAACCAGACTGTCTTCTGGATTTATCTTAGACTTCTTTGTGGTGTCTTCAACATATTTCTCTTCTCTCTGTACTTCCTGTGCTCTGGAAGTTAGCTCTAATAGCTAGATTGGAACCTCTCTCTTCTGAGTAAACAGTTCACCACCCACATTCTTCCGGATTGGGGTGATGGTTTTTGTTAGGTTCATTTTTGTTCAGCCACTTTTTGCTGGCACTACCTCTAGTCTGTGGGTCTGTTTTAAAAAGCTGACAAGCAATCTTCAGGAATACAACTGTTCCTGCTGAAAGGCAGGCCACTGACTGAACCATCTCTTCGCCTCTTGGCTACGCCCTGATCAGGACGAACCCCAAAAGAAAAGGGAACGATGAAAGAAACTGGGAAGATATTTCTCTCTTGTTGGCTATTCAAAAACTTTTAAGTGCGGCGAGGCACAGTGGCTCACGCCTGTAATCCCAGGACTTTGGGAGGCCGAGGCGGGCAGATCACCAAGTCAGGAGTTCACGACCAGCCTGGCCAACATGATAAAACCCCATCTCTACTAAAAATACAAAAAAATTAGCTGGGCATGGTGGCAGCCACCTGTAATCCCAGCTACTTGGGAGGCTGAGGCAGGAGAATCGCTTGAACCTGGGAGGGCGGAGGTTGCAGTGAGCCGAGACCGTGGCACTGTACTCCATCCAGCCTGGGCAACAGAGTAAGACTCCATCTCAAAAAAAACAAAACAAAACAAACCAACCAAAAAAAAACAACCTTTTAAGTAATTAGTGAATACCTCATATGTGCTAGATGTTATAAGTGATACAAAATTTTAAAATTCTAGATGCTGAATCCTATGCACTATTCAGTCCAGTAGGACATTCTGCAAGCTTCACAAGGATTATTATTCTTAGAGTTAATATATACATACATTACACTATTTAAAGCCCCTGCTGTGTAACTAGCTTTGGGGGCGGCAGCCCAGAATGTTAAGAAGTGCACAGCCTTGGGGATCTGAATGCCTTACAATATTAGCAAGCTACCAGAATCACTAAGTTTCCATTTCTTCATCTGAATAATGTGATAATACTTCAAAGGATTGTTGTGAGAATTAAATATGATGGTGGATATAAAAGCCCAAGGCATTGCTTAGAATAGACGCTCAATAAATGAAGGTTGAAGGTTATTTCCCTTTGGTCTCTCTTTCTAACAGTGTGTCACATTTTTCCTACAAAATGGGAATTTCATGTATTTGTTCAAATAGTTATATGGAAAGGCTGGAGGATTTTGCAAATCCTGTTTCAAGTCGGCTCAGGCACCAGTCACTGCTTGGCCTCTTTAATGTTGAAAGTTTGCAACTCAGAATACCTAAATATAATTCTTTGCCTCCTAATATCAGTCATTAGAATGTTTTACCCTTCTGGAAAGATTTATACAGCTCTACAGAGAAATGTACAGCACCTGCCTTAGGAGTTTGAAATGAAATTCACAACAACAAAACATCAAAATTTGTATTTATTTTCCAAAGGAATTTGAGATACCTTTCAATATTTAAAAATGTAAGACAGTACAATTGTCATATATTGATGCATTAGTGATTAACTCTTGATGGGAGAAAGGGGTACAATCTTTCTGGAAGGTCACTTAGCAATAAATATAAAAAGTTTTTCAAATGCCCACACTCTGTCCCAGCAATTCCACTTCTTGGAATATATACCAAGGACCTGAGCAAACATAGATGCACAGAATGAAGTAATGGTATTAGACACAGAGATGCCCCATAGGAGTGTCATAGGAGGACTTGCTTCACAGGAGGACTTGCTGCTCAGCCTTGGAGAATGTGGTCAACAGATACCCCTAGCTATCAGCCCCTTCAGAGTTGACCTCAGCTGCAGAGTGCAGCCTCACCTGAGGTCCCTCCCCTCCCAGGACAGCCCTCATCTGGTCAGTGAATGACAAGATTATAAAAGCCTAGCCATTTCCACCCAATGGGACAACACTCATAGGCCTTTACAGTAGACCCTGGGGTCTGCTGAGGCTGCAGGACTGCACCACAGTTCACC